ACCGGGCAGGCCCTCCGGACTTCCCTCCTCGCAGAGCGTGCTCGAGGCCGCTTCAAGCCCCGCACCTCGCTGGGCCGAGAAAGTCCGCCAAGGAGAAAAAGGGGTCCGAGGCCGGGCGCAGGGGGAGAAGGCGTTGGCGGCGCTCTAGCCCGCGAGTTCACTCCGCTCTCCCCACGTGGGGTTCCCGATTGGCTGAAGGCCGTCGCTTCCGGCCCGAAGGCGGTCCTCCAAGGAGCACGACTTCCGGCGCGAGGCGCAGTTGTCGCATTTGTCCGGCCCAATGGCTGCTCCACTGCTTCACACGCGGTTGCCTGGAGATGCAGCCGCTTCAGCCTCTGGAGTCAAGACGTTGCGCGCATCCAGGTCGGGGTAAGAGTCCGGGCGGCTTCCTTCAGCGCTGCTGGGGGCAGATCCCAGGACCGGCCTTAGGGGGAGCGGATCTGAAAGGGCCTGGGACAGCCAATGGGGGGCGGGGGGGGGGCTGGGGGGAGAAGAGGGGAGAGGTCTCCTCAGGTTCTCAAGAGTAAGCCCATGCTCCCTAAGTGGATACCAGCGGTGGGAGAGAGGCTGGAAAAAGTAATCGAGAAGTTAATCGATTTTCTGCTCCCGAGTCCCGTTTTCTCCTCGCTGGGCTCCCGCCGTCCTAGAGTCCCAGGCCTGGGTACTGCCTTGGGCCTTTAACGCCTCCCTCCCGCTGCGTCGTCCAGATTTGGAAAGTTTCCTAGGCCGTTTGGGTTATCAGCGCAGTGCTGTCATTGATGGCAAATTGAATCTTATTTCTTTGTCTGAGATTTGCTTCGAGACACGTGCTATCTTGTTTAAATTTTTAAAATCCCTTACCCCTCTAAAATGTTTTGGGGTTTAACTTTTTGAGAGCCATTAGTAGGGTTGTATGTTTTTCACTAATCTGCTGTTTAAAAGAAGCAGACTTTGTAAAACACCTAGAGTAATATGATTCATTGTAATATTGACGAAGCTCTTACCTACTGTTTTAGACACTGGGGAAAGCAGTCTGTCAAAAGACACAACGTCATTTCCCCCAGCGGAGCGTCCAGTCTAGGAAGAGAAAGACAGTAAAGAGATGAACAAGATAATTTCAGATAATGATAACTGCAGGGAAGAGATAAAGCAGGGTGTTGAGCAGGGAGAGCGGGGATGGGTATTTCAGATTTCTGATGGGGAAGGCCTCTGACATTTGAACTTCAATTTGAATGAAGACAATAACCCAACCATGTATAGATCTGGGGAGCAATCATTTTCAACCGGTGTGCTACAAGAATTTAAAAAACATGTAATACTTGCCTATTTGGTCAGGGGCACTGACCTCTTTTCCTTTAGATTGTCACAAAAATTACAACAACCAACACAATAATAGCCATCTGGTGTGAATGAATCAACATCATTTTCCAACATCATTTTTTTAAAAATCTTTACCTGAGGGTATTTTTCCATTGATTTTTAGAGAGAGTGGAAGAGAGAGGGAAAGACAGAGAGAAATATCGATGTGAGAGAAACATTGATTGGTTGCCTCCTGCACGCGCCCTGGAGCCTGCATCCGAGGTACATGCCCTTGACCAGAATCGAACCCGGGAGTCTTCAGTCCGCAGGCCAACGCTTTATCCACTGAGCTAAACTGGCTAGGGCATTTACCTATTTTTTTTTTTTGTCAGATTGGCAAAAAGTATATTTCTTGGTGTGTTTGCAGAATTTTAGTAATTAGTTTATGTGCCATGAGGTGAAACAGTTTGAAAATCACAGAGACAGAGGGAACAGCAAGTGGAATCGGAACCAGCTTGGCAAAGAATGGAAAGGACATTGGCTGCAGCCTAGTAAGTAGTTGGAAATGAGGTCAGAGTGGTAGGCAGGGGCCAGATGAATGAGGACCTTGAAGATCTCATTATGGAGTTTGGATTTGAATTCTAAGTGAAGCAGGAAACCTTTTGGAAAGTTGAACATCAAGTAGCATGATCTGTTGTAAGTTTTTGAAATATTAGATCTCTGAGTGAAGAATGGATTGTTGGGGGATAAGAGTGGAAGCAGGGAGGCCAGTTAGGCAGTTGTCTGAATGATGATGGTTTGATAAATGTTGAGGTGTGACTTTTATCGTTCTCAGTCATATACTTAATAGCTTGGTAATCTTGGTTGTACAGGATTTCAGATGTGCTTGAATTAGAGAATGATTTCTTCAACTCCCCCCCAAGAAAAACTGTTCGATTTGGTGGAACAGTCACAGAAGTCTTGCTGAAGTACAAAAAGGTAACAGATAACACATGAAGTTTGGTGTCCCCCGCCCCGGCTTTATTGAGATATAATGACATTGAGGTTTGGTTTTTTGTTGGTCAGAATACAATGATAGCTATTATACTAAAGACCAGTTAGCGTAATAATATGAATTTTAGATATCTATCTTGAAATCAAATATTTAATAATAGCATGATGCTGTCAGCTCAAAATCAGAGTAATAATCTCTTGCTGAAGTTTCACCTCTTCAGCTGTTTTATTTATATGGTTTGTTTTTCAGCAAGTGCTAGAGCAAAAACACCATAGAACACAGCATTCTATTTCTTAAGGAATTACCAAAGCATTACTTAGAACAATAAACCAGCTCTGTTAATAGGGATTTTTTGGGTTTATTTTTGTGATTCCACTAAGTCTCAGCAATGGAGGGAAAATATGAATGACTTTTGTTTTATTTAAATTGAGGTATAATTGACATATAATGACTATTTTATATGTAATACCCATTTATATTCATATATGTGAGTGGATAGTATCAACTATCATACTCAAATGTCAGTACACAAGTATACCTATTTAAATTACTTTTTTAAAAAAGGGGTTTTATTGATTTTAGAGAGAGAGGAAGGGAGGGAGAGAGAAACATCGATTGGCTGCCTCCTGCACACCCCCTACTGGGGTTTGAGCCTACAAGCTAGGCATGTTCTGTGACTGGGAATCGAACCTGTGCCCTCCTGGTTCATAAGTCAACGCTTAACCGAGCATACTGGCTGGGCTAATTTTTTTTTGGGGGGGGGGGTAAGAGAACATTTATTGGGTAAATTAGACATAGAAAAAGTAATTCCTAGAATAAATTGCTTTTTAATTGTCACTTTTAAAAAAAATATATATTTTAATGATTTTTTTGCAGAGAGGAAGGGAGAGGGACAGAGAGCTGGAAACATCAATGAGAGAGAAACATTGATCAGCTGCCTCCCGCACACCTCCCCACTGGGGATGTGCCCGCAACCAACGTACATGCCCCTGACCGGAATCGAACCTGGGACCCTTCAGTCCACAGGCCAACGCTCTATCCACTGAGCCAAACCGCTTAAGGCTAATTGTCACTTTCTTTTTTCCATGCCCCCTAGCTCCACTAACATGAATTTTTAAATTTCTATGGATTTTGTAATCCACAATTGATGTGTAGAAGTTACAATGTTTCTTTTGTAATTTCATCAGATATTAAGATATAGTTAAAAGTCCTTTGATCTTTAATAGAAAACTAAAGCAAATAAAACTTAATTTCTCTCCTTTCTTGTTAAGGGTGAAACAAATGACTATGAGTTATTGAAGAACCAGCTGTCAGATCCAGACATAAAGGTAATTAATTTTATGTTTGATCATTATCAAAGTCATTGCCACTTAGGATAGTTGTTAGTTTGTACTTCTGTTTGATCCTATTCCATTGTTTAAAACCTACTCTCTCTGTGATCCCATCTTCTTTTTTTAAGATTGTTTTTTGTCCTCTTCAGAGGATATGTTTGTTTTGTTTTTTTAATATAATATATTTTTACTGATTTCAGAGAGGAGGGGAGAAGGAGAGAGATAGAAACATCAGTGTTGAGAGAATCATTGATTGGCTGCCTCTTGCACTCCCCACTTACTGGGGATGAAACCCGCAATCCAGGCATGTGCCTTTGACCGGAATTGAACCCAGCAATTGAACCTACAACCTGGGAATCAAACCTGCAACCTTTTGGTGAACAGGATGACACTCCAACCAACTGAGTCACCTGGCCAGGGCAGATCCCATCTTATTTTAATACAGTGGCTCTCAATTAAGGGCAGTTTAACTCCCTTTTTTGTTTTAAATGCTCATCCGAGGATATTTTTTCCATTGGTTTTTAGAGTAGAAGGCGGGCGGGGGGGGGTGGAGGGGAGAAACATAGATGTAAGAGTGACACATCCATTGGCTGCCTCCTCAACCGAGGCCACGGGATTGAACCTGCAACCCAGGTACATGCCCTTGACTGGGAATCAAATCATGACCCTTAGGTCCGTGGCTGACGCTCTAACCATTGAACAAAACCAGCTAGAGCCAACCCCTTCTTTTATACAGTGATAAACGAGACAGTTTTGGTTGTTATAACAGGAGGAAGATAAGGGTGCTACTGACCTCTAATGAGTGGATGACAGGGAGTCGCTAACATTCTGCAATGCACAGGGCAGCCCTCCACAACAAAGAATTATCCAGCCCAAAGTGTCGGTGGTCCCAAGGTTGAGAAAACCTACTTTAAACTTTCCTAATACCTCTTTTCCTCTATGCTGTAGGTAACTCTCATGTCTCTCCAATGCAAAAACAAAATAAAACAAAGAAACAGCAAAAGATGACTTGCCTTTCAAGCTGCTACTCTTTCAGTGTTTCAGAGTTCAAGATATGGTCTATACCTGTCACGTAGTAACAATTGAACACATTTTGTTTCCCTTTTCTTCCTTTATTGTCCAATATTGGAAAGAATCATCTGCTGTCATGACAGTGGTAGTCAGATTGCCTGAGATAAAATTCCAACTCCACTGTTACCCAGGGTGTGATCTCGGACAAGTTATTTAATCTCTCTTTCTTTGCCTCCTGCATGTAAAACCAGTAGAGGGTTTTTAAACATAGAGGTCTTAAGAGTATCCAGTGAGTTAATATATGAGAAGCACTCGAACTGGCCCTCAAAGTAAGGGCTTTGTAATTGTTAGCTGTTGTTCCTGCTTATGATTTGCACTTTCTCATTTCCCATTCATGGTGAAGGCCACTGCTGTAATTACTATGAAAAGATTACCAGTGATTTCTTACATACTGATTTTGATGGGCTTTTTTTTCCCCAAGCCTCATACCCATTCATTGTAGTAGTTTATACTTGGCCACCCATTCCTTGAAACCTCTCCGTTAGTTTCTATGTCTTCCTACCACTTATCTCTATCATTCTCTCACTCTATAGATTCTTCCTCTATGATATCCTTACACTTTTAATAGCTTTGAAATCTACCTGCTCCTCTAACTGCCAAACTTATATCTGTAGCTCTTACTGCTCTTTTGGGCTCTACACTTATTTCTTAACTGCCAGCTCAAAGTGTTACATGTGCCCCAAACTTAGCATTGTTTCTCTTCCAAACTTACTCCTTCTGAAGCCTTCTTTATGTACTTAAGTAACCTATTGCTCACCTTTTGTTGTTTTTAAACATTTTTATTGATTTCAGAGAGGAAAGGAGAGGGAGAGAGAGATAAAAACATCAATGATGAGAGAGAACTATTTATTGGCTGCCTCCTGTATTCCCCTACTGGGGATTGAGCCCAGAACCCGGGCATGTTCCCTAGCTGACCTCCTGGTTCATAGGTCAGTGCTCAACCATTGAGCCAAGTTGGCTGGGCTCACCTGGTTCTTGAGTAGGAACCTTGCAGTATTTGTAGTCTCTTACCTTCGTATCCTTTGGGGGATAAAAATCTTTGAGTCTTTTTTTGTGGTTCTCTTGTCTAGATTCTTTCAATAATGTCTTTAGTGGTCTTCAGGTTCCAATTCTCCTCTATCTCACTCCCCATTAAATTTTTTTTTATCATCAATAGTGCAGCCTAAATTATCTCCAAAGCACATGTTAAACATGTCATTACTGAAAAATGTCATGCTTATGTGTATATATATATAAAAGGCTAAGTGACCAGCCAAACGGCTGGTAGGTATGACGCGTACTGACCACCAGGGGGCAGATGCTCAATGCAGGAGCTGCCGAGTGACTGCATCTTTGCAGAGTGCCCTCTCCCACTCCTGGACCCTTTGGTTTCGGCCTGATACCCACAGGGACCCCACACACTCCACAGATGCCCTTCGAGCTGCAGTGCCACCCCAGGTGCTGCTGGCCAGGGAGGTTGGCTCCAGAGTGTGTCTGCCCATGTCACCCAGTCCCACTGGCCACCTTCTAATTAATTTCCTTTCAGTGTGCATGAATCTGTGCACTGGACCTCTAGTTGAAGAATAATACAAGTTCTTTGTATGGCCTATAGTATTTTTTTAATGTTCAATCTCATTAGCTACGTCATTTAATAAATTTGCCACTTTTCATCTTTATGCCTTTCTATGTGCCTGTTCTCTCTGGCTGCAAGAGGTTCTCTATCTGGCTACCTTTGTGATTGAAGGCAAATTACTGTACTTCTATGCCTCCATGTCCCCATCTATAAAGTGGGAACCATTGGGAATGCCTAACTAAAGGAGTGGTTGTAAGGATTAAATGAGTTAAAATATGTTAACGTCTTAGAACAGTGCCTGGCATAAAGTATTATATTAGTGTTTACTATTACAGGTGCTCATCAACTTATGATGGTATTCAGCCCCATTGTAAGTTGAAAATACCTTAAGTCAAAAATGGGTTTAATACACTGAACACCATAGCTTAGCCTAGCCTACCTTAAACATGCTCACAACACTTACAACGGCCTGCAGTTGGACAAAATCATCTTGCTACTGTTGCCCAGCTTTATGCCGCATATCACTAGCCTTGGAAAAGATTAAAGTTCAAGATTTGAAGTATGATTTCTACTGAATGTATATGTCACCATTGGGAAGTCAAAAAATTGTAAGTCAAATAAGTAGGGGACCACCTGTAACACATGGTAATTTACAAAACTCCTACTCTTTTTTTTTTTTTTCCAACAGTCTTGTCTTTACTTTTCCTTTGAAGCGACAAACATAATGCGAATAATCAGAAAGCACTAGCAGGCATCAGTTAATCCAAGATACTAACTTCTTAGTTCCAAAAGCACTTGCAAAGAAAACCATTGGGGCAGCACAGGGGGATGGCAGCAATTCATAACTGGAATCCCACGAGCATGTGAAAACTCCTACTCTTTGAGGTCCAGCTAAAATGTCATCTGTAATGGAACTTCCCCTGGTTCTTTCTAAGCACATGATGGTTCATTCAGTCCATTCCCCACACTTCCAGCAGATCTTCCTAATTGCAAATCTGTCTTACCAGGACTTCAGTGGTTTACCTGCCCCTCCATTCTCCCCAGGTTTATCTGTTGGCTTGCTCACCATGTCCTCCAGCCATACTGAACTACTTCTGGTTTTTTATAGACATACTTTTCCCTGTGTAAGGAATCCAGCCCCCCAAGAACACTCACTCTTTTTAAAGACAGCAGGAGGGCCGAAACCAGTTTGGCTCAGTGGATAGAGCGTCGGCCTGCGGACTGAAGGGTCCCAGGTTCAAGTCCGGTCAAGGGCATGTACCTGGGTTGTGGGCGCATCCCCACTGGGAGATGTGCAGGAGGCGGCTGATCGATGTTTCTCTCTCATCGATGTTTCTGACTCTCTGCCTCTCTCCCTTCCTCTCTGTGAAAAATCAATAAAATATATTTAAAAGAAAAAAAAAATAAAGACAGCAGGAGGAAGCATCACTTCCTGAAGGCTTTCCCTGCCCTTCGTTTTCTTTCAAAGTACAAAGGACCATTTCTTTGTGTTCCTCTGTATTTTTATTGTATTTATTTTACCTCTGTATTTTTAAAAAATACATATTTTTATTGATTTCAGAGAGGGAGACAGAGATAGAAACATCAGTGAGAGAGAGAGGATCTTTGATCATGCTGCCTCCTGCACATCCACCACTGGGGATTGAGCGCACAACCAGGGCATGTACCCTGACAAAATAGAACCATGACGTCCTGGTTCATAGGTCAGTGCTCAACCACTGAGCAACACCAGCCAGGCTGTGTTCCACAGTATTTTATATCAGCTTTTCTCCTTGGTATCTTGACATAGGGACAATCACATCAGTTGTGCCTAAGTTAGTTCAGAGGGGTGTAGCAAGTAATTTGCTTCTGATAATATTTCAGTATTAAAGCACCAAAGTCTGACTGATTTATTTTTAAGAATGGAGCAGTTTAAGTGTTATCCTTATAATTTTGTCATACGTGTTTTTGTTTTTTATGGGAAAGAGATAGGATAGAGCTAACTCATTTTATTTGCAAGTAACTCAGCTGGTTTTTGCCTCAGGTGGTGGTGAGACACCATTAATGTTACCCTACATGGTTTTGGACATTATAAAATGACCATAAGCAAATGAGTTGTGATTTACTTTATTTTTCCGGCAGCTTACTTTGGGGTTTCATCAGAAAATAGTCTAATTGAAGTTTGTCACATAGCACATAGAAAGCAGCAGTGGTTGAATGAAGGTGAGGAAAAGGTGGTGCAAGGCATTGTGAGAGATTAGGTGGAGCTTAAGCTTTGACCCAGACAGACAGGTTTAAATCTGATTCTTTATTAGCTTCTTGGTTGGGCAAGTTGCTTAGTAATCTCTCTTTTCCTGAACTGTAAATCCTTTTGCAGTGTTGGTAGGA